CAAAATACAAATTAATATTAACATGTAATATTGGCGAACATATTTATTGTCAAAGTAAGCATTTGGTATCATTATATTTATTGTTCACGTCGTGTCATACGTATCTTCTATATTTTCCAACGATTTGTTTCAACAGGGGCCATTCAGAATGCAGGGCTCAATATAAAACGCTTTGGAGTAAAGAAGAGAATCAGTTATTTTAAATAAATTATCAGCGTTTCTTAACAATTACTCGATGGACCGTTTTTTATTTTATAAAAAATGGGCGGAGACTTGTGAAGTCCTGTTGTATACATAATTTAAGCTTTTAAAAGAAGAAAAACATATAGGCTTAGAGAGCGTAAGTGTATTTTTATCAACAACAAATTTTATTTCATTAACAATAACGATCCACGAAGTTCAATATTCGGAAACGTTGACCTTTACTATCAGCCAGAAAATTCTTCATGCACCAACATTTACAAATAGAAGACAGATAATATTTTACAATGATTTGTTTCACATGTAAAAAAAAGAAAAAAAGAAAAACTTCGTTTTCTGAAACTATTTGCTTTACTTTATAGGAATTATACAAAATAAGAGATAATCACACGCGTTGTTTATATAAATTTTCCAGATATAAAAGGTTGTTAACTGAATGACGATACGTGTCACTCTCCATAGGACGAACATTTAAAATATTTTTGTGAATAGCTCTACTAAAGATGCAATAGAATTTTTTGGTTTTTAGTACAAGAAAAATATACAATAAGTGTAATACTATAGTAAATATTATAAGACAAATAATGGTAATTTTTACAAAATTGGAAACTGATGAACCTGGAAAAAATATATGTACGTGTATATTATTATTATTATTTTTTATTATTATTATTATTATTATTATATTATTATTTTTATTACTACTACTATTACTATTACTATTACTATTATTTGTATAATAAAGACACCTTTAAATTATAAGAGCGTTTTCGCGATAAATGGCGAAACACAATGTATTCGAACAAAATATTTGTAATTGCACTTGATATTTATAAATCTTTTTTAAAAATATATTACAAAATTCTCGCAGATATCCAATTAATATTTTGTACGTAATTTGAAACAGAGAGACGATCGTATAAACATAGGAATAATAACACGTGGTTTTCATTTGATCTACAAATTCTAACCATTAGAGAGAAGCAATAAATCATAATATTTTATAAATTCATCAGACCCATAGTTTTTATAAGAAAAATAATATATTAACTGCGGTACTATTAATAAGTGCACAGCAGTATTTTAGAAAATCAATCTACGCACTAAAACGAGTAAAAAAAATACACGGACAGAAACTAAAAAATTCTACATTCTCAAAAGTCGAGATGATCATGTCTATCCATTTTGTTATTAATCTTGTGCAATATAAAACAGCTATATTTCCAATTTATACTCTTGTAAATCAGTTTTTGCGTGTAGATTTATTTTGAGATACATATTTTCGAGTATTGTCGTGTACTTTAAAAAAATTTCGTATAATTTTAAAAATATTTTAAACCGTTGTGTTTCTTAGTTGAAAAAAATGTGTAAAAATAAACTGAATATAAAATGAAATTATTTACATCGTCATTTCGTTGACGACTAAAATATAAAAAGAAATACGCAAATAAAGCATAACATGATTTCACATGATAGAATCCTTTATGTATAATATTCAAATTTAAAGGTGCTCACATATATATATATATATACATACGATATATATATATATATACATACACGCAATATATATACATATACGTATACATATATATATGCATACATACATTACTTAGAAGACATGTTAATACTGTGATAAATTGTGTACCTCTTCTATTATAGGGAGTGAAAAATACATGATTGTATTGATTTGTTTATACATAACAGTATCGTACGAATCCAATTATAGTTATAAATTCCGATATGAGATTCGTTCAGTTAATGACATTACTTACACAATAACAGTACGGTAGACTCGCGGTGCTAGAGATTCGAATTTTAAATTGTATCACATTCTTCTTTTATCTTTACGAATTCATTCTCAACAGATCTATTATAGGTCATCGTATCAGTGGACCCAAGCTTCGAGAGCACTGAATAAAAGCAATTGTCATGAAAGTTACGGAAGTACGAACTCAATTCGTTCTCCTCAGTGATATAGTAATACTTTTCTACTTTCCCCGAATATTTACACGGAAAAATTCGTTTATAAATCTGATACAAAAAGTACTTCGTAATGAGTATAAACAGATCCTATGAGTCATATTTTGTACCAGATTCAATTAAAAACAGAGCTCGCGTCGATTCGAGCATTCCCCTCGTAAAACTGATCTTTCAAGCAATTTCTATTTCAACGGAATCTTGACATATACTGTAATGAATAGCTTGATGCTATCTGCCGGGCCGTTGTTCTTCTATTAAAGCTATTAATCGTTGCCGAGTTTTTTTATTATTTTGACACGCTGAGCAAATTAATCCGATCAAATGCTTGACGGAGTATTCCTAGAAAAAAGAACTCGGAATGATACATACACTTGACTCGAAACATGACGTTGATACACAAGCCTACGAAATACCTTATGTTCTTTTATCCACTCTTCTAAAATATTCTCTGGTAGATAGTATGCTTTAATGTACAATTCAACGTATTCTCTGTGCGGCATCGGTCTCAGAGACGTCAAAGCTTCGAATTGTGATTTCAGTTGTGTGAAATCTAGTTGCATCAATGCTCTGCCTCCGTTCGAACATTTTTTCACGATAGAAAAACTATGACAAACGCAAGTGAAGGTAAATTGGAGACCATAATACTGCAGCAAAATATGCGTAGGATCACGTACCCTTCCACCAAAGTGTGAGTAATAAGATGGGCAACGTTTTCCCAGACAGCGTTACATACATCATTTGACAAGGGAAGACAACTTCCAATATTCTTCAGCCTTTCATTTAAAATGTATATTTCCTGCAATAAAAGAAAAATATCCCTTAAATACGTCGATAAATTATTTATAAATAGAGACTATAATAGGATATATACCTTAAGTAATTCGTCGATGTAACCGCTATGTTGGGACATGACATCGGTCACCTCCCAGTTAACTTTATTCATTAAATTTAAAATGTTTGCTATATCTAATGCTTGCGATGCTACCGCCATGTACACGGGCTTTCTTAAATCCACGGTCGATGCTATTGTCTGCATATAAAACTGATGAAGAAATCCCCGCTGGGGACTGGATGCTATAAGATGCTCTAAATATGGCCTTAAAGCTTCATACTGTTGTCCTAAAAATATTAAAGATTCCACTGCTACTATACGCTCGGTCAAACCGTGAAGTTTCTCTGGTTGCGTCAGGTTCACGATGGAAGAGAGCTGCGGCTGCCGTACTTTATTAGAATTCAATTTAATTTTATCTTCGGTATCGTTTTCACAAATAATCAGATTCTCTTTAATCCTCGCCAATGACAATTTTAATTTAGGACTGTACAACGAATCGCTGTTTATCAGCTGAAAAAGGAAATGAATGTCATTTATGGACACTTGCTCGTAACATGGCAGCTCTCGTGTGTTTTGCGCGTGAATTTCTGTACTCACAAGATCTGAAGTAAAAAACAAGTGTGCTGTGTAGAAACACAGCTCGTAAAATTGTATCATGCTTTGTATAACGGTAACTGCGATTGAACGTAGAAGTCTAGACATCTGTAAATATTTCCCAGAAACACGTAATATACTTAGTGTAGTATTCGTAATCATAGGTCCCAATTGTTTCTGTTTATATTTTTTCTTATTCGTCTTAGCATAATCAGAATCGTCAACGTATTCGTGTTTCAATTCATCTGGGATGTCATCGTCAGATTCGTCGGAAAAATATGCAGTCGGATTTTCCTGTGTATCGCACACTGTTTTATCCATTACACTGTCATATACCCGTAACTGTTATGACATTTTTATAAAAATAATTTTACCTCGCTGTTTATCAAAATATCTTCATCCATAGTATCATCTAATCCTATGGAAAACGGAGACACACCTTCTTCCAAATATTTTTGTACCCACTCTGTACCCAACAGATTATCATTCTCACTGACATTGGAATTGTCTGAATTGTTCCATACTTTGCAAATATTCAACGATGGTTTTAAGCTTTTGAATTCTTGTAGTTGCGTCGCTACGAAGTTGGACTTAACAGGACATAATTCCCATCCATCGTTTTCTAAAAACATTCTAAGTTCGTCTAGCCTTGATGCATGATAGTGAGAAAAGTATGATAATGATTGTTTTCTTATAGATTCTTGTAAATTCTCGGACTTGAAACCACACAATTCTTCTCCGATTTCTATTAATCTGTAAACATTTTTATAATTATAAAATGTTTTAAATATGTACATGTAATTAATATTGATTACAGAATAATCTTACCTGTTAACTATACCTAGAACTTGAACAAACTGTTCAAATTTGATGTAAGTTAAATCAGTGTTCATTAAAAATATTGATATTTTCATTTCAACATCATGCCATATTCGAATCATACTGGTTCCTAACTTATGCTTTACGTATTCCTTGCTAGAAGTGTCTTCTAAATCTTTAGAATCGGTATCAAACTTAACTTTACCCTCTTGCGTATTATGCCAATTTACTACTAAGTAGTAGGAGCTTAATATTGTCCATAGAGATTTACACAGTTCAGTTAAGCAGGTGATACAATTTTCACGAGGTACCAATTGACAGAGTTGTTTATACTGCTTCTTTGTATCCCCACCCACATACGAATGAACAGCTGCAAAGGCGGTATTGTGAACTGCAGCTGTAAAATGCATATGCAACTGGTCCATTGCAGATTGAGTTTTTCCTAAAAGCGCGTAAGCTTCTTGCACGGATGTGTATGTTTCTACATTGAATTGTGTACACATTTTTGAAAGTGTAACATCCAATGCTACTTCCGCTTGTTCCAATATATCCTGTAGTTTTCCATTTAAAGCAGCAATACAATGAAAATGTTTGTACGTTTGCGCAGCACTCTGGCATTCTAAGAGCAACGAGATTGCTCTGGGATAATTCTTTTCATTGAGAAGTTCCTGTAATCGATCTCCTGTACGTTGCTGAAAAACATTACATTGACTGTATAGATATTTATGGAATTAAGAACCGACATTAACCAAAAGAGGACTAACCAATGTTTTTATAGTGTTCAAGTTATTCAACAATTCTTTTACAATTTGTCGTTTTTGGTAATTTGCTAATATCCCTAAGCTGGCTGTTGTAAATTGCTTCTCTGCTAATTTTAAATCCGACCGTCCCATTCTACAGATCTCTAACACGTCTTGTAGTTGTTCTTGTATCAATAAAATTTCCTCAAATTCCTTCTTACAGGCATCTTGTTTTTCCAAAATAAGTTGTAAGACTTTCCTGGATACGACTTGATGTTGCTGTTTAAGTTTCTTGTAACTCTCCTCGATCTCTTTAGATTGCAATACTTTTGGTAATTTTTCTAATTCGTATTTACAGGAATCAAAAGTATGATCCATATTAAAATAAATTTCTTCTATAGATTCTAATATCTCTTCATTAGGGATTGGTTCATTTTGCGTTGATTGATTAGCTTCGAATTGTATATCCTCCAATTTCTGTGGTTCTGAAGGATTGAGGAAGTCCGAATGTAATCCCATATGTGGAACTTTGGCTACATTCTGAACAACAATGAATAAAAGATATATATGTATATATATATATCCATAAATACATATACACATATACATATTTAATGTGTGCACGAGCGCGCACGTGTGCGTGGTGTATGGATGTGTATATGTATATGTGTATGTATACATTCAAATATATAAATTATATTGAAGTTATTTATTAAACATGCTTTTAAAGTTACATCGAGCTAAAACACAAAACATAACCTAAAAGGTTAGCACGAAGTAAAAATCACGAATCGCATTCGCAATTGTTACGAATTACTAAACACTGTTGCGTTATAAAATTGAAAGTAATCTTTATTCACCTGCTTGTTAATAAGGCCAAAGAATTTAAATTTTAGATCCTCCATACTGATGATTTCTTCAAAACTCTGGTCGATACATTTTCATCTATTTACTTGATTTTTCGATGTTCCTATCAATGAAGATGTCATAGTAAATAACGTGAGCATTATTTTTTCGTAATTACTCGGTTAGTTCCATTTTGATGTTATGGGAATTTGTTTGAACACTATGCAGACCAAATAAATATGTATATCAATATTATCCTAAGGTTATCTACGGTATGTAGTTAGAACGGAAGTTCAGGCTCGTACCTATATGCATCGTATTATGTAGGTACGTCAGATTTTCAGATTTTCAGATTTTCAGATTTTCAGATTTTCAGATTTTCAAATTTTCAGATTTCAATATCTTCGAATGATATCGATTAGTATCGAATAAATTGGAAAATAACGAAGATTATCAATGTTTCTATACGACGATTAGAATAAAATCTAAAATAAGAATCGAGGAGTTTCATTCTCCGAAAGAAAACAACGCATGCATTTTACTTTGTTCCTTTCAGTGGTTAAACGAAGTCTAATAATCATCCGGGTATCGCATATTCATTGAAATGTTTCTCTTTATCGATTAAGGAGAAATTTCAGATCTTCTGGCAAAGAAATTCGTACATACATGACAAATCATTACGGTAGAAATTTTCTGTTGCTCGGGAGAAATCTGAAATATCAACCGTGAACGAGGAACACACAGTAAATCTGAATTTACGTATTATTCGTACCACGACACTTTTTTCATTTCTCGCAAGACGCAAGCGTGTCTGCACACGTTCGGAGAGACTTGCTTAATCCTCGTACAAATAGGAGCTGCTCATTTTATTGTTACGTAACATTGTAACGGTATCGAGCAATATGTCAATCAAAAGCTATCCCGCTGATTCGATTAACCAAGTAAGTACACATATAGCGTAGCCGATGTTCAAAGGAAGAACATGATGTTTGCAGGTGGGTTGGTCTCCGTACGTTACGTTCGATATTTCGAGTCGTCCGTCTGTGCGCGAGCAATGCATCAAAATTCATGAATCTTTAATTCTACCGTATACACCAGTTGCAACCGATAATTATCGCGGCTGGCAATCGTTCGATTCTCCCGCCCCTGTTTGAAATTTCGGAAATGTCAAGATGGACCATAGATTAGTTGTTAACCTTACCAAACTGTCGTTAACGTTCATTCTAATTCGAGTCTGAAAAAATGAAACAACGTTTCCCCGACGATCGTTCGAAACGAAAACTACAGTGAAAACTGGAAGTAACCGGTTATATATTGGTTACGCGATAAATTCATCCGTGAACCGTGTATAGGTCGATAGTTGATTATACTCGTGGTTCGTAACGTTACACACCCTCTCTCGTAGGAGAGCATGTACGTTTTCGTCGAGCGTCAGGCACGGAGGGAAATAAAATAGGAAAGGAAAGAAAAGGAAAGAAAAGGAAAGAAAAGGAAACGGGGAAAAAATGTTAAGGAGGGGTCTCGAGGTCACCGGTTAATTCGATTAAGCGGGAATTCGTTGAAATTTCGTGAGGCGTGTTATCCGCGGGTCCCAAGGGTGGCGCACGCCCGGCTGTCCAGTCTTCCTTGTAACCGAGTCGCCGCGTAAACGCGGCATTACGATAAACAGAAGTAACGCGCGGTCTCGTACCAGGAGGGTTGAAATCGATGCAAGAAATCGGCAGAGAAGGGTTGCGTGGGTGTTCTAGGGCAGAACGTTTGATCTCGCCGACGGCAATTGGTCGTATCCAGCGAGACCTAGGCGGCGATTGGTCGGCCGAGATCCTGCGCGTGTCCCCACCATCCCCATGGTCGTGCTGGCCGGCGGAGTGGGGATTATAATACGTACTTGGCATGGGCACGTACAACACGTATGTACGCAGGTGTGTTCATAGTGCCTGTGCACCCCGTGTCGTGTCACGCGCCAGCCACTCGGAGTCAAAGGAAGACGGTGGGTGGCTGTGAGACCAACAACGAACCGAAAGAAACATTGTGTCAAGGCGAGACAGTCTCTCGTATCCTCCTCGGAGAGTCGGGTAAAAGTGCTGCCAGGCGACACGTACCCTCGAAACGGTTTCGCTCTTTTGCGGGAGCATTCGTTTCCCCCCTCGGCAGAGAGAGAGAGAGAGACAGAGAGAGAGAGAGAGAAAGAGAGAGAGAGAGAGAGAGAGAGAAGAGCTCGCGAGCACCGCCGCGTACAGAATAGCCGTCCCTCCTCGCTGCTGGGCCAACGAGAGCACGCAACCCAGCGGTCCAACCGAAGTCCGAATAGGAACTGTGTGTCCGTCTGTCTGTCCGTCGGCTGAGAATGGTTCAAAGGTTCTGCACCAGCGTGGCTGCGCTTAGCCTCGCCCTGATCACCTGTCTCGTTTTTCCGCGTGCCGTCATGGCAATCGACTTGAGCCGATTTTACGGTCATTACAATTCGAAACGCACGGGTAAGTAAGCGAAGCCGCCCTACGTCTATCCGCCGAACCAACTCGGTTCTCTCGCTTCGAGAGATCGAAGATCGTCCTCCAGGCCCGCGCGAACCGTTCGACGGATCTTCGGGAGCTCGTTGCTCGCCCGAACGATCGATCGATCGGTTCCTTTCCAGGATCCTATACACCGATATATATCGTACCTTTGGTTCTTCGTTACCGCTCGGTTGGAAAATTGATTAGCGCGCAACCAGTGCTCGTTTAACGTTGTATACACCGAGACCCAATGGAATCTTTAAACAATTTGTCGCGACGGTGGCGGGCATAGCGTCGTTTAAGTGGCAATTTCAATACACGTGGTTCGCTCGGCGTGTCACGATCCGTGTTCGTGACGGGCTCCGTTCATCCGTGATGCGGTTTATTCGTGGCAATTGTCGGCGAACGCCAAGCGTTTCGCCATTGCCCGCGGACCATTGCTCGAACGATTTAAACGGCGAATTCCGACCGAGAACCGTTCGAGGGGCGGGCTCGATTCGCGCTCTGCTCGAAACTGCCGAGAAACTTGACTTTTAATCGTCTCGTTCCGTTTTATATATCGCTTGCCTGGAAACTTGGGAAACAGATAGAGCAGGAAACCTGTGGCACGCGAACACGCTTCGAAATTATTCGGAATCCCTCGGGACGAGCTGCGTTACGATTTCCCCGAACGACCAGCAATATGTCCGGTGTCGGTTGGTCACTCGTGTTTCCTTGCCAGAGTCCATCACCACCGGTAATCACTAGAGAAGAGACGAGGCGAACGCGCACCGGCCAATTGAATTGACGACAATTAGATGATAGTCATAGGAAGACACGGCACCAATGTCGCGTGTAAAAGATCGCGCTCTCCCCCTTTAATATTGCTCGGTCAATATCAGCCACGCTGCCGACCATTAATAATCGTCGTTCGTGTATGTTCACTTGGGCATTGCCATTTACCTAGCATGTGTTCGTGCATCGCGTACACAACCTTATACCTTATTCACGCAAACACAAAAATATACGTTCGACGCAGACACGTACGCGTCGAACGTACGCGTCGAACGTACGCGCGACACGGGTTAGGTTATGTGTCTGTGGGTACACGCATCGTATGGGTGTAATAAAAATAATATAATGCAACAGTGGTTCTTAAACTTTTCTTCGAGTCGGACGATGTGCATCGAATATGCTTACGTGTATATATTCACTTGTCTATGCACCTGTACATACAGTGTCGAACGATTATTCAACGTATTTTAACCCTTCGCACTCGAGAGGCGCATCTCACTCGCCATTCGATCGAACCCAACGAAATTATAAAATCTAAAATTCAATATTAAATTTTCGATAATCCACCAACCGACGGAACATCGAAATAAAATAGGTTCGTTACTTAATTTATGCGAGGCATTGTTTTATATCGATTCTAGAAAATACCATTGATGTTTCACCAGAAAATAATATTTGTTGCTCGAAATATTCTCGAGTGCAAAGGGTTAACCCTTTGCGGAAGATCGTTGAAAGTGTACGGAACCTTTCGGCAGAAACTGTACCGATTTCTTGTTGTTCGAACAGTTGAATCGTTTGCTCGCAACTTGCTACTTCGAACATGGAACTTTGATCCCAGCAAAATGCCGACACATTCGTCCGCAAAGGGTTAAACGGTAAATGCGTAATGAGCATTGAGCTTCAACCCGTTCCCCGTCGAACTTTGTTCTCGCGATGTTCCTTTCGACGTAATATTTTAACGTTGAACGTTAATAACGGTTCACGGGACTCTCGAAGAAGTACAGACGGTGTTCTTTGCGAACTCTGTTCATCCAATGTACGTTTGACCCTTCATGGAGGAATGTCGACATGTCGAGATGAAACTCGTGTTTCTGATACTAAGTTTACAAACGATTTAATTACTAAAACAGCAAACGCAAGTAAATTGTCTCCTGTTCCTCTATTATTTAACCAGTTAACTGTGTTCGACGAGTATACGCGTCATCTTAAAACTCTTAATGGTGCTAACTTTCTCAACGATGGATTATCTATTTTTTCAAACATGTAATTCTTCTTCGTTTCGCTTTAGTTTTTCGTTCGGTATATCACATTGAGAGATTTTCCAAACTAAATTCCACACTTAACTGGTTAAAATTTCTGGTTTAAATTTCTGCCTCGAGTTTCGTATATTTTAAATAGTCTTCCTCCGCGAAGGGTTAATATATAACAACTGCATTATTCAGTAATTACTTAGTACATGAAAGGTTCTCAAATGGAGATCACAGAAGGGAACGAGTTAATCGCTTTCGAGTTAACGGTTCACTGCTCGCGGTCTCCCTGGAGGCTACAGTTTAACCCTCTGTAGGCCCATGTAACTTTGAAGTCACACGTCAGTATATTGGAATCTTTATTTATTTCATTTTGCACTGAAAGTGGGGAGTAAAATTAAGTAATCGGTTAACCCCCTTGCCTTATAACAACGTGTCACTCGTGATGGAGATTTCAAGCAGAATTTAACGAACATAAGTGTTAGTTAATTTTTGTGAATACAAATTGAATAGTACTCTTCCGTTACGAATTACTATAGCATAGAGTAGACATAGATGTAGAATACGCCTAGAACTTTTGTCCTTTTTCAATAAAGTTTTAATAACAAAATAAATCTGTCGATCATAGTTAAACTTTATACGCTCGGGCATGAAAGTTTGTCATTATAACTTTAAAGTTACGAAATACACTCGTCTGATGAAATTATTGAAACTATCGAGTACATTGTTAACTCGTATTCATACGTGGATATTTATTAATTCTGTACTATAGAGGGTTAAGAACTGCTGTAACATAGTAGTTTCGATGCTTTCACATGATTGTTACATTCCTTTCTGGCTTACCATATCTTACTACACTAGAGTATCAGCGTGCCTTTAGCCCCCCGATGAAGTCAGCTGCAATGGCGAAACGTCGGGATAAAATTCCTAGCGGACACGGCTCTCCCCGAAAGCCAGAAACAAATGCTGTAATATGACATCGTGCTAATTTTTCTTTCCTCGCATTCATTACGTTCCCTCCGATAATTGGTTTGTTCTGTCTGTACACGGACACGCGCGTGCACGTGTGTACGTACCTATTATAGCGATCCCGGACAAGCCCCCAGGTTTACAGTGGTGCTACTATTATTATAGATATTGAAAAAATATATATATATATATATATATATATATATATATATATATGTATTTAACGAGATAAAGAAACAATATGGACAACACGTAAAAATACAAGTTAATACCACGAAGGCCAACACACGACTCTCCATCACGCACAAAAATGTTCTCCGCTGTCTCTCAACAAATGTCCCCTTCGCACGCATTCCCACTCGCTTTTAACACACCCCCATTCGGTCTGTCTTTCTCAACCTTGCACCCTTCTCGCTCGCATTTTTCGTCCATAGTCAAAATTCACGCGGTCGCGTAGACGCTTTTCTCACGGTCCAGTCGGTCGGTTCCGGACACTCTTCCTCGTGTTCTTCCAGCCACTCGAGACTTTCTAAACGCGGTCACACTATTTTCCAAAGATCCCGGCGCCGGTCCGTCGCGATACGACCTGGTCGCCCTTACGCACGCACAACGAACCGTTCATCCTACGATACTTTAACCTACGCTAAATAATTCTAGATACTACACTATGAACGTATGCGTGTGCGTGTTACACAGGAGACGATTGCCATCCGTACGAACCGTTCAAGTGTCCAGGAGACGGTACTTGCATCTCCATTCAGTACCTTTGCGACGGAGCTCCGGATTGCCAGAATGGATACGACGAGGATTCGCGACTATGCACAGCTGGTAATTTCCCCCTTCGCTCTAATTACTATGAATATCAAGTTGCTAGTGAAACTTAATTCACTGGTACAGACGATCGACCAGTCAGCCGTGTTGCCACTTTTGAAAATGTGCGACCGAATTGTGTATCGTGCATTTTGTACCGTGTATAGTTTCTTTTTCGAAATATCCGAAGGTTCTTCACACTAGGTTTACGGACATTTATTGTACAGTTTATTCTATCCTTCCTGGGGAAGTTGATGTTCGTTCATTTAGATTTTGGAAATTGTAGATGTAAGAATAATGTTTATAAAATTCAATCTGCGTCAAATAGACGCGTTCCGTGAACCTAGTATTAACACTCGGGCCTGAAAAGAACCATAACTACAACCTCCGTTATCTTCGATTGAACTCGTTCAGTTGACTCGTTTAGAAACTGTTTTCTAAAACAAGAACCGTATTCGATGAATTGCGAATAATCCCACTTGAACACTTAGTAGATAACAAAAGAAAGATCTCCCCATTCGGTTGGGCAAACGTTAAAATCGCAGGGGTTCGAAGATAGCCAGTTAGAAGACACGTGTTCGTGTAATTGCATCGATCGATACGAACAGAAGCATTTGCCTTATAACGTTGAAAAAATGCAATGTGCGCGCAATCGACGCGTTCCGCGAATCCAGCGTTAACGGGTAACGGTAACTGGTTTTCATGGGTGCTCGTCATGCACGGCTGGCTGGTTAACAGCGTGAGATTACGGGGAAGGTATCGAACCCGACCGAGAACACGTTCGAAGGCTGATTTATGTTCGACCACTACTACTGTCTGTCCAGGACAGTTCGAATCTCCGGGTGAAACTACTGTAGACGATCGGTTGTACTCGAGGTACCGAACCATAACTCGAACGTCACTCGGGGGTTGTTCGAACATTTTTCAATAATCGAACAAACTTACATCCTGTTCGTTATCCTCTTCAAGGTCGAGAGTGTTTAGAACATTTGAAATTACAAACTGAACGGTACGAAGGCAGACGATGTTAAGGCTATCGAAAGCACACGGAGAATAAGCTATCGTTAAGCTAAAATGAAACGCGTAGAGGTGCCAGTATCTTTGAAGAGGTTATTCGTTTCAGCAAAGAGGCCACCGGTAGAGGAAACCGCCAGTTTCCTGCAGTCGCTGCTGGCAAGTCACGGACCTAATTACTTGGAGAAATTATTCGGGACCAAAGCGCGGGACACCTTGAAACTGCTCGGCGGGGTGAACGCGGTGGCTATAGCGCTGTCCGGTAAGTTGGCCACGACCCACGCTGTTTGGGCTTGTCTAACGTGTTATAGAATGTTAGGTGTTTATAGAAATTATTTAATAGAAACGTTTACAACCACAAATTTCGTCGATACAATCTTCTGTAAGGATCTTCCGTATCTCGTATATTAGTATTACGTTGGCTTTTAAGCGGACGAATATACTCGTCGAGCATGTGTGAGTCATCTATTTCACGCTGACGGAATACGTTGAAACAAGATTTCCCTATGTCACGAGAGAACGCTCAAAATTCCGATGGCAGTGAACGCGTTAAAGCGTAGTTGAAGAAAATCGATAGCGTACCATGAACGCCGCCGAGCCGTATTTTACTGCGTAACCGGCAGAGCTGAAATTCCCTTCAACCTCTCGCGTTCTAAAGACGCGTCACGCGCGTCGAGATGTTTTTGTTCCTAAATTGCCAATCACGTCTTGTACGCGTCGATGGTCTCGTCGCGTTACGCATAGATAAGTACCTGCTAGATTGTCGGTAATTAACGAACAAGACAAGTATGTATATACATGTCGGCGTAGAATAGGTAAAGAGAAGATCGTTGGCGCAAGGTTCTGCCGAATCTGCGAATCGCGGTTGCCAGCGCAAGCGGTTAACTCTCGGCTGCAGCCATTCGCCGCGCAGCGAGACGACAGGAACCGACGCAATTGTCGCGCGATCATTCTCAATGACCGCATCTTTGTCGGTTCCTAGAATAACTGGATCGTTCCGTTCGTTACCGATAAATACAGGTGATCCTCGCGCGACGCGAATCATTTCGATTTGATGAAATCGTCTGGCTGTTAGTCTCTATACGCGTAAAGAGAAACGTGACTCGCCTAAGGCCGATTCTATGGAAGTCTATAGGTGTTGCTTCTATAGAAATGTCGATGCTCCACTTTATTCCCATAAGAGTTAGTTAGATTTCGAAAAAGAAGCTTTAGCTTCAGCGATCTCGCTTAGACGTCGACGAATCTGATGAACCGGCTACATTTGTAGAATCCCAAACGATCGAGGACTTCGGTGCAGCCCTGCACCTGCTGCGGGCCGATCTGGAGTATTTGCGCACCGTGTTCTTGGCTGTGGAGAACGGCGACCTGGGAATGTTGAAGTCCATCGGGATCAAGGACTCGGAGCTCGGGGACGTGAAGTTCTTCTTGGAGAAGCTGGTCAAGACCGGGTTCCTCGACTGAACTGACACTCTCGTGGGACAACAATCCGGAGACGCTGTCACCGTTGGCTGTATCGTATCGCAATCGCACCGTTTTGTTGCTTCGCGGCTCGGTTCCTCCTCGACGGATCAGTTTGGGCGAAACGGTCCGCCGCCCGTCACACCTCCTCATCCTGTCGGCCGCTCCCGCCTGACACCGTTCCTGCTCTCTCGCTTCCTTTCGATGTCTTCTTAGCGCTCACGCTTCTGAAAGAACACCGACGAGCATCGAGATATAAGTTCAGGATACACCGTAGGAGGATCGCTCGGTGGCCACGCCGAGGAACGTGGCTGTCCGATCGGTCCATTCTCGTCTGATTTGCAACGCCGATTCGCTGTCTCGATTACAAACCGAAACACTCGGCGAAAGACACCCCCTTGGCCCTGCTGCTGGACAACGAGCGATCCTCCGAACGTTTAAACTTTCTCAGCGAAATGTCAAGGGTCGCAGCACGCTTCGTGTATCTCTCCGCGCAGCTTTATCGATGCGACGCTGCGCGACGCTGCGCGACGCTGCGCGACGCTGCGCGATAGGACGCGACGCGTTATCGTCGTCCCATTCAATGATATTCGAAGGAACTTGGAAACACGTATCAAGAGTCGACGATCGGTCGAGCACGCTGCCGGCGGTCGAAGGTGTGACGCCCGGAGCTCGCAAATGCGCGGATAACACGACACCCCGTGTCTTGAACGAACACGCGTCAGGGCTCGCGGTACCCGGTACCGAGTCTAGCTCTTGCGAGCGTGTCGGTGTTAATAGATACATTTTTTAGAGGAACATTCGATCCTACGCCGTTTAAAAATCTGTAGCCTAGCATTGGCAACGTAGCTTTGTCCTCTATTTTTTATATTGACGTTGATTCGATTAGCAAATCCCTGTGGTATTCAGCTGTAGACTCTGGGAGATCGTACGCGATCGAAGCGAGCAAAGCGGGGCAGCATACTTTTGACCGACGAATATACCGAGTATATCCGAAACCGGCGCAAGAGCTTAGTAATCGCCAGGTCAATTAATTGTATTTTCTGTACGGCCGGCTCTTCTCGAACGGTACGCGGCGGACGATCAATGCTGGTTAACGCAATTAGTTTCTGCGACCGGTGCGGTGCTGTCGCGACGCGCGGTCGTCGTCGCCCTAGTATATTGTCCGGCGAGCCTTTGGAACGCTCGACGGTTTTTTCGATTGTCAATGGTCCCTACGTTGCTCGGTTGTGAACGTAGTACGCGTCGAGTGTAACGATACTCGGCCGAGTTGCAGGGCTCGTCGGACGATCGTCGAAAGAGTAGAAACGCAAAGACGGGTAATTGTTTTAATCGGAAATTTCAATTGATTTTCCATGAAACGCTTTCGCGACGAACAATCGGTCCTCCGCGGATTCTGAGGAACCAGCGTACCATCGTTACAAATACTACCGTGTTTCCGTTGTTCCGCACTTTCGGTTTCATTGAAACGTTAATATCTTTCCACTCCCGACATTTCTCCGTTCGTACCTCCCGAAACCGACAACCACGGTGAACAGACAACCACCGACAACAGAATGATCCGAGAGTAACGTTTCTTTCGTTTTTCGTTGAAATCCGACGATGTAGCTTCGCGTGTCATCGGTAAGCCATTATATTCATCAATGGCTGGGAACGTGTTAAACGCTTTTATCGGGTTCAGAGCGAAAGCTTTATCATTCGTTGCGCGCACCGATGACGATCAGTAAACGAGATACAAAACATTGATAAGAAAGAGTACAAAAGCAACGAGCATGCCGCAAAGAATGAGATTCAGCGAAAGATATAGGTTTCAACGGTATTAACGGTAACCGTACCGCGAATCGGTCAAACGACTGCTTTCCAAAATTCCTACTTTGTCCGATTAATCGGTTTCACAATTTTTCTCCGCCTGTTTTCTTCTGTTTCCGCTAAGATATATATATATATATATATATATATATATATATATATATTACCGTTATATATATATTACGATTACCGTTCAGAGGTGTACATCGGGACTGTTCCTTCTATTCGATCGATGCACGCACCCGAGCCAATCTCTTCTAACCGAACACCGTGCCTGCACGATTCCTCGCATTCGATATCCGGCAAGAACGACATTTCCAACGGCATCTGCAAAGTCGCAGCTCTATCGTTTCGATGAAAATATCACTCTTCCGAACGAAAGACGCCGTTCTCTCCTGACGGAAACATTGAAAATCGTCTATACTTTTTGACTGCATTCATTCGATTTTACCGTGTATTTTGGAGAACCTTATACATACATATATATATTCTTATATCTACTGCGCACACGCGCACGCTCGCGCGGTGGGTCTCGCGAGGGTTACTACTTATAAGGTGAACGGTGCTCGGCGAACGATTAACGAACAAATTAATTAACGTGGGTCGACCCTTCTAAGTATTGATTCTCGTTTCTAACGGCTTGCGTTACGGGGCTGATCTGGAAAAGGGAATTGTAGACTGTTCCTCGGAAACACCGCGAGCGCCGGAAATCAAATGTTCTCGGGAGAAACGAACGAGTTGCTCGATATTCGATCATTTAGAAGATTCGATTTCCGTTTCGCTCGCCGAGTCCGACTAAAGCGCAACGCTGAGTTTCCCATTTTTCCTCTATCGACGAGTACCATGAGAAAGGGAAAATCGTAAAGAAGACTGCATATGCCGTTCAGTTAAATCTGCAAACGCTGCGAGTGCCAATCGTATTTGTTACCACGTTACTCATAGGAAACACCGGAAATATCTTTGTTTGAAACGCGTATGATCACGACCACTGTCGATTCTGAGTAGATTATAGCTACGAAGGTGTACAGATCCGATAATTTTCCAGCATCGAATAGAGAGGAGTAAGAGCGCGATTGAGATCGGCACTCGCGGTGTCTTCGACGAGCAGTCTTCAATGACGGTATTCAGCAGTGCGCGAGGTACCGGTGAATCTATAAGATACCCCATCTGCGTTCTGTCTGTCCGATTGCACTGTGCGCACTTTCGAATTCCTCGATTCTTTGACGCGGACCGCCTCTGTATACCCGAACAAATACGTATACATATGTCTATTTTAAGGTTTAGAAGCAAAGCAGGTACAAATCAAGCGTCGTACATCGCGTTCCTTCAGGGTATGACGTGCGCCATACTTAACAGAGGAAAAACGGAAAGAGGAAAAGAAAAAAAAATGAAGCGAGTGTACAACACTATATAATTGTATTGATATTTTCATTACGGTAACGCAACACATATCAGTCTAGATACATATCAGTAATTTTAACGAGTGCCGAATTCTCCAAGGGATGAGAGCCGCGTTCCCGTGGACCCCCGCCTCTGGAATCCAACGAACGTACGCGAGGAGCCGTGTTTCAATCCATCGGCTCGTCAAACGTCGGAGAAACGTCGCCGATCTCCCGAGAAGAAGCTTTCGCGAGGCTCGAGGAAATCTAGGGGTTCGTTGACAACGGTGTATCAAATTATTCCGGCTGGATCGTAAAGCGGGGTTGCCTGTTCCTAGAATTTCTTGAACACGAAAGCAGCTTCGTCGGGCTCGAACCGTTCCCGCGTTCATCGAAATAGGTTCGAACGCGACGCTCTGCGCACAGAGGGTCGAGGGTCGGGCGGCTATCATTCTCGAGAGACATTCCTTCGATGAAAACGTACATATCTCTACCTATTAAGCGTAATCTTCTAGTCAACCAAATGACATATCTTCTAATTAAATAAGTATATATACTTATTTATATATATATATATATATATATATATATATATATAT